GTGCAATGTTTTTTTTTTCATGCTGTCCCACTGCATATATATCGACCCATCCACCGTCATCATTGGTACCCGCAGCGGCCTCCTCGATTGCAGCTGCGTCTACCCACCCCATCCGCGCAGCAAGGAACATGTAATAGGAGAGAGGGGGCAACAGAAAGCTTGACCCAATGCGTCAACGATGACATAACCATTGCGAGGGCGCCCCCTCCTCATCCACGTCTTCCTCTATTTCCCACCATCATTATCATCATCATGTTGTCTCTCGATTGTTCCTCTTCCGTATGCTTTCTCATGATCCCCCCGTTTCTCATCACTCATCACCATCCCCTTCTCGCTCCTTTTATCCTCTGATCATTCCTAGCCGATCCTCTTGTGTGCGTGTGTGTGTGCGTGTGGCGCGTTTGTGTGTGTTTGTGTAGGTGTGTGTGTGTGTGCGTGTTCCCCCGTACAAGCCACGCTCGCTTTGCTTGCGGTCCAGGAAGCGTCAAGGGTGAAACTTCGGGGTTAGGAAAGCGGGGCTGGGGTAGGAAAGCGGGGAAGGGCAAGGGTTAGGAAAGCGGGGTGAGGTAGGGGTGCTACACAAAGGAGAGATAAAAAGGAGTAGATAAAGGAGTAGAAAATGGAGGCTGCATCCGTGGGGACTAAGACGAGTAGCCCATACAGGATCCTGAAACGAAATAAGGGATACCTACGAACACGCGGCAGTGGTGGAGGCGGGAAAGGTTCATGGGCCCAGGCGGCCCGGCGAGCAGGGTCCGGGGGCCAAGAGGGGGGCGCAAAGGGGTGGGCCGTAACTCGTGGCCAGACGAACGCGCGCGAGCCAGGGGGAACCTGGGGACCTATGGAAGCAAGGACAGAGGGCATGAAGTCTGGGGAACTATCACGGCCCCGGCCATGAGGCACCACCCCCCAATCATCACCCGGCAACAGCCCATGCCCCTGCTGGATGGGCAGTACTCCGCTTGGACGGGGCATCCCCCTGTTGACCAGGGGAGACACTTCTGGTATGTAAGTTTCGGAAGACCTGCAATTTATGTCGACTGGAAAGTATTAGCCTTTTTGTATATCAGAAAGTCTGGAGCACCAATGGCGCGCCCTCAAAGAGCCCGCACGATTTTCTGGGGAAAGCCGAGAAACAACCCTTCCGCAACAATGATATCCTGAGTGAGCGTTGGCTTGCTGATTTTGTTATCTGTGCGCGGTGGCAGAAATAACGATAGCGTTCGAGACACCTGCGTTTCTCCTAGCAGGACGCATGCGTCTCACATATGCAGCACATGTGTCGCGCAGAGGACACCCCCACGCCTCTCGCATGAACACTTGGCGCGTCTTACCTGAGAGCCCCACGCTCCGCAGATGTAAACAAGTTCGCGTTTCAATGCTCCAAACGATGCGCTCGCCATCGGACAACCAGACGTCCCCCACGTGCGAACCGCGCCAAGAACCAGTTGCAGGCGCCCTTTTCGCAGCCTCGACGCTGAGACGGTGTGCGCCAAGTATCCACAGCCGTGCCTCTGCGCACGCAGTGAGCGTGCCCTCAGGTCCTCTGCCGCAGCCTCTGGGCCTCAGCCCTTACTCCTGGGAACTTTCTTACGAGGCCAGGCTCCACATGGCCAGACTTGGCGAAGCTTGTCGCGCGCCTACCGGGCTCACCCGCGGCTTCCCGCGTGACTCGTTCGGGACCAGGGAAACTCCGAGACGGGCCGGAAAGGCCCCAGCCCCCGAGGCGGTCCGAGAATGCCTCGACTCGCAAAAAAGAAGCAAACAAAAACGTTCCGCGAGGCCCAAACCGGCGTCAAGGTGGCCCGCGAGGCCTCTAAGACGCCCCAGGAGGCCTTCCAGATGCCTGCGAAGAGGGCCCCGAGAAGCAAAAATCGCCGATTCCCTTTCAGAAGCAAATGCTTCAACATGTTTGGCGAACTCGTACGTTCGGCTTTCCGGCGCCCCAGCGCGGCCCACGGGGCCCCAAAGAGCACCCCCGAGACGCCCCAAAAGCCCAGGCGGCCCAGGAGGCGCCCAGGACGGCCCCAGGAGGCCCGACAACGGCCCCAAGAGAGGGGGCACGAATCAGAACTCCTAACCCCTTCGCCCCACGAGGCCCCCAGGACGCCCCAAGATGCTCCCAGGAGGCCCCGGGAAACCCCAAGAGGCCCCAACGAGGCCCAAAAAGAGGCCGCAATATGCCCCACGACGGCCCCCAAGAGGCGTCCAAAGTGCCTCCAAGGAGCCCCCGAGAGGCCCCCCACAAAATCCCAACGAACATCCAGGCACGGTGGCGGGATGGGCCGAAGGCAATTCGATAAACACCGGCCTAGGAAATGCGAGATTCGCTTGGATCCCTGGATGGTCTTGCCAACGCCAACGTAGGACTTGAAAGCCAACAGATGCCCTGCATCCGATGCTGATGATTATTAGCATCAGGGACACCATCATCATCATCATCATCATCATCATCATCATCATCATCATCATCATCATCATCATCATCATCATCATCATCATCATCATCACCATCACCATCACCATCACCATCATCATCATCATCAACATCATCATCACCATCACCAGCATCATCATCCCCAGCAGCATCATCATCGGCATCGTCATCGTCATCGTCATCATCAGCCTCATCAGCAGCATCATCACCTTCGTCACCATCATCAACGTCATCATCATCACCATCACCGTCATCATCACCATCATCGTCATCATCGCCAGCAGCATCATCATCTCATCCTCACAAGCATCATCATCATCATCAGCATCATCATCATCATCATCATCATCATCATCATCATCATCAGCATCATCATCATCATCATCATCATCATCATCGACATCATCATCATCATCATCATCATCATCATCATCATCATCATCATCATCATCATCATCGACATCATCATCATCATCATCATCATCATCATCATCATCATCATCATCATCGACATCATCATCATCACCACCGGGGTCATCATCGTCGTCATCCTCAACATCAGCATAAACATCATCACCTTCATCGTCAGCATCGGCACCAGCATCCGCAACACCATTAGCATCATTATCAGTATCATCAGTAGCAGCATCATCCTCATCAGCATCCCTCCTTGTTCCGCCCGCGTTGTTCCTCCCTCCCATCCTCAGTATCCCTCCCCTCTTGTGTGTGGTGTTTGAACTGTTTGGGGTTTGGGGCCTCATGTTCGGTGTTTGGGGTTCGAGGTCTGGTGTTGTTTGTCTCGGGTGTGGTGCTTGGAGTTTGGAGTTTGGTGTTTGGTGGTGTTTGGTGTTCGGTGTGGGTGTTGGGTTTAGTGTTTCGTGTTTGAGGTTTGGTGTTAGGGGTCTGGCGTTTGGGGTTTGGTGTGGTGTTGGGGGTCCGGTGCTCGGTGGTGTCTTTTTGCGTGTTGTTTGGGGTTCGGTGACTGGTGTTCGGCGTCCGCTTCTGGGGGGGGGGGGCTCAGGCCCCGACCGAGGAAGGACCCAACTCTGCCGGGGTGTAGCCCGTTCGACCGGGACAGAGCCCGTCCGAGCGGGGTCCTCGCCATCGCTTGGACGTCCATTCCCTGTGCTCTTTTCGCTTGCGTGCGTGGTTTTTTCGCCAAATGCTCCAGGATGCTCCTCGATGGCCCTCGCCGAAGGAAAAATGCACACGTCCGAGCGATGCGCTCACCCCACCTCCGGCGGGGCGGGAGGCAGCCCGGATCCCGCACTTTGCCCCGGGGGGCGGCCAGCCTGGCGGCATGCAGGGGCGCGCGGCGCGCCGGCCCGGGCCCGTGGCCCCCTTCAGCCGAGTGCTGAGCTGCCCGCGGAGCCCGAGATGAGACCCCCGTGCCTCGCCCCGGCGGGCGACGAGGCGGGGGCCGAAGGGTATGGGAGTCGGCCGCCCCCACCCCCTGCCCGGCCGCCCCCGACCGATGAGAGGAGAGGCGCGGGCGCCGCAGCCAGCGCCCAGGGACCGCGAGGGCGGCAGCAAGCGTCCTCGGTGGCGCACCGGGCGCGCGGCGGGCACCCCCGGGACGCCCGACGGGCTGAGTCTCGCCATGGCTCGGACGTCCATTCCCTGTGCTCGTTTCGGCTTCGTGCGCGGTTTTTTCGCCAAGTGATCAAGGATGGTCCTCGATGGCCGTCGCCGAGAAAAAAAATGCACACGTCCGAGCGATGCCAAGGAGTCTAGGGGGAAAACAAACCTACCTCGCTTTTGACCACCCTCGCTTCCAAGAGATACCAAACGATGCCAAATTGCAGCCTGTGCTGGTCAAGCCGCCTGACGAGGAGGCGCGTGGTATGGCTTGGTTTTGCCTGGAAGCGAAAGCGGGGTAGGTAATTCACGCTCTGAGAGTCGTGCTCCCCGGATCCCGTGCTGCCAGCATCGGGGCCACTGGCGGCCCCCGGGGGGTCGAGATCCCGTGAAGGGGCGCCCAGGCTGGAAAGAAATTGGGCCGTCGGAGGCGTGGGCTTTCTGTCCAACGTCTTCGCGATTTCCCCGGTTGCGAAGGCGTTCGAGGAGGAGGCGGAGGAAAGAGGAGGAGGAGGAGGAGGAGGAGGAGGAGGAGGAGGAGGAGGAGGAGGAGGAGGAGAGGAAGAAGGACCAGAAAACGATCAGTGCATGTTTTGGTGGTTATGGTGGTTTGGGGGCGCTCGGCGGGGGGGGGCGACCAAAAAGTTAGACCGTCGGAGACCTGGCGGTTGCGGCGCCAACCCTGCCGCCGCCAGCAGCGCGGGGGACAGCGCGAAGAGCAGCGTCCGTCACGGCGCTCTCGTGCCAGCTCGCTTCCCGTGGGGGGGGCGATCGACGGACCGGCGCAGGCCTCCAGAATCTTGGCAAAACCGCCTTTTATAGGGCCCCCGAGAGGCCAACCACGAGATCCCAACCAACACGCATGAGAGCTCTGACCCACCACCCAGGCATGGTGGCGAATAGATGGGCCGAAGGCCACCAGGTAGCAGACCTGAGGGATGCTCACTCCCGCAGGCATCGAGGGGTCGGCGCATGTGGCGCAAGCCTGTAGAATCTTGGCCTCCACCCTCGAGCTGGCGGAGATGGCCTCGCGCGGGGGGTGCGAGACGCGCCCTCTCCCCACCCGCCCCCCCCTCTCTGGCAGAGCAGGGAGGGGCGGAGAGGGGAGGAGAGCGGATGAGGAGCATGAGCCCAGGCTCGACTGCATTGGTGAGAGGGGAAGGAGGAGGAGGAGGAGGAGGAGGAGGAGGAGGAGGAGCACAAGCAGGAGGAGGGTGGGTGAGACGGATCAGATACACATCTTGCCATCACTCGGACATCCACTCACCGCGCAATGTTTGGTTTCGTGCTCGTTGTGCTGTCAAGATGGTCCGACATGCCGCAAGATGGTCCAGATTTGAGTCGCTGGCCTTGCCGAGACAAATGAACACGTCCGAGCGATGCTAAGACACAGGACGCATCAGGTGGAAGAGCGGAACGGGGTGGGTGGGAGGGGGGGGGCGAGCAGGAGGGAGAATACGCAGAGGGTATAGAGGAGCAGGAACAGTGACAGTACCATAAGCAGGAGCATGAGCAAAATCAGGAAAAGACGAGCAGGAGGGAGCGCACGCAGGGGGTGTAGAGGAGGAGCAGGAACAGTGGCAGTACCATAGGCAGGAACAGGAGCAAGATCAGGAAACGACGAGCAGGAGGGAGAACACGCAGAGGGGATAGAGGAGGAGCAGGACCAGTGGCAGTACCCTAAGCAGGAGCAGCAGCAAGATCAGGAAACGACGAGCAGGAGGGAGAACACGCAGAGGGTATAGAGGAGGAGCAGGAACAGTGGCAGTACCACAAGCAGGAGCAAAGATCAGGAAACGACGAGCAGGAGGGAGAGCACGCAGAGGGTACAGAGGAGGAGCAGGAACAGTGGTGGCAGTACCATAAGCAGGAGCATGAGCAAGACCAGGAAAAAAACGAGCAGGAGGGAGAACACGCAGAGGGTATAGAGGAGGAGCAGGAATGAAGGCAGGAACATAAGCGGGAGCATGAGCAAGGACCAGGACTGAGGGTGAGCAACGGGGAAGCAGGGAGTAGGAGGACGAGGAGCAGTAGGAGAGGGAGTATGAGGAGAAGGAGGACAACGAGGACGAGGACGAGAGGAGCAGCAGGAGGCGGATGGCTGCGCCTGGCAGACACAACAGCCAACAACTCACAGCTCGCAGCAGGAGGCCGAGGAGGAGAGGAACGCGCAGAGAGCAACGAGGCGGAGTCGGCGGCGGGAGCCCAGGACCCAGACCCCCGACGTCATGATTGCTTCGTATCGTCGAACTCTAAAAATCTCGACCCATTCCCTGGGACCCGTTTTTCATCCGGAGCCGTTTTTGGACGGTCCCGAGGCGCGTGAAAAGGACCCCGGTGGCTGCGAAAACAACCAGCCTCGAACTTATCCCTATCCCTAAGGTGGGCGAGCAAAAAGCGATGACGATCTTAGGGAACAGCCCTCAGAAACTGAGGAAATCCTTGAGATCGGCATCAAGGTGAGCCGCTACCAAACATGGGCATGGGGATAGGGATAGGTTTCGGACTGGCTGCGAAAAACCTTCCGTCGTAAATTTGCTCACGACGCGAGGGGGTCCCGGCGAGGGGGTCCACACCCGCCAGGGTGCAGCAACGCTCGTGGACATGTCGCGGGGGCTCCCCGGCCACCACCGTGCCAACTTTGAGCTACACTGTCAATGCCTCCCTCTCCTGGGGCTTTGCTGCGTTCTTGCTCGCCAACGTGTGCCACAGGTGCGGAGCTGCACCGTCAGTGCCGCGCGCCCCCGTGGCTCTGCTGCGCTCCTGCTCGCGACGCACACCGCTGGAGGCGGCAGAGAGCCTGAGGGATCCACCCACGAGAGGACCGCGAGGCGGAGCCCGGGGGGGCCGCGAGGGGGGGGGAGGGCCCCCCTCGGCCCCGAAGGCGGGGGGGGGGGCGGCGCCACGCCCTGCACGCCTCGCGCCGAGTGCTCGCGGCCCGAGGCAGCATCAGGTCGCGCGCGTCCTCCCATCAGATCGCGCGCGTCCTCCCACAAGGCAGATGTGGGACGAGACATAAAACATACTCCCCCAAATAGGGGGAAAACAAACCTACCTCGCTTTTGACCACCCTCGCTTCCAAGAGATACCAAACGATGCCAAATTGCAGCCTGTACTGGTGAGGCCGCTTGACGAGGAGGCGCGTGGTATGGCTTGGTTTTGCTGGAAGCGAAAGCGGGGTAGGTAATTCACGCTCTGACCAAAAACAATGCCCCAAAATGGTCAAACACACAGTCGAAAAAATCGTCCCCAGACTATGCTTTGACTATTTTTGCACACTCCTCCTGCAGAGGGGCATGCCTGACTAAAAAACAGCACGGGATGCGTCCGCCCCTAGGGAGAGTTCGTCTGTCAAGCCAGGCGCCAGGCAACGGCGCATCGGCAGGGAATCGAAGAGTGCGCGATTCGCTCACATAATGCGGGATGACGATTAATCAAAAAATGGGAGAGAACGATACAAAAAATAGTTTTCTGCTATGTCTGCACAATTTTCTGACTGGAGGAGAACGATTGAAAAATAGTTTTCCAGCCAGCGGCCGGTTTTTTCTAATCGTCATCCCGGGCGCCGCCGCGTGAACACGACCCCCGGTCATTTATTAATCGTCATCCTCCATTACTTCATAGAAACAGATAGGCAAAACAGTGCGACAAAGCTGCCGACCTGCAGTCGGAAAGGCCAGTCCGGTGCACGCACGAAGAAAGGCTGTCGGCAGCCACGGAAAGGCCCCGCTGATAGAGGATAGAGAAACAAAACACGCACCCAAGCAGGTCTTGGAATGGGGGGGAGGAAGAGGAGGAGGAGGAGGAGGAGGAGGAGGGGGAGGAGGAGGACGAGGAGGAGGAGGAGGACGAGGACGAGGAGACGAGGAGTTCTTGGAATGGCGCCGGGCCGCCCTCGCTGGCGCGCCTGCCGCGCCGGGGTCGGCTCGGGAGGCGCCGCCAGGGGAGCCCCAGCGCAGATGCAAGAAAGCCGCACGGAACTCCCGCCAGTCTACGTCTATGCCGTTGTTCTATGGATGCCATGACAATGGACACCCAAACAGTCCTTTCATTGAATCAAACATGTGCTTGAACTATTGGAACAATGTTCTTCAATTGTTTTAGGTCCTGTCGTTTACACGTCTAAGACATGTGTTATACATGTGTTGGACAGCAGGAAGTTATGTGGCAGCTTCCTCTCCACGGATCGTCGTCCACAGCCGTTGCTCTTCTTCGACATGTGCGGGCCCACGAGGCCTCCCAGGCAGCGGCAGAGCCTCGCGGGAGCCCGGCGGAGCCTCGCAGGAAGCCCGGGGAGCATCGCGGGGCTCGGGCGGCGCAGGCCCCACACCCGGGTCCGAGCCCCGACGCTGGAGGGCGCAACCTGTGGCAACAGAAGGAACCCGACACAGTCGGCGCGTATCATAAGAATGCGCGATGAGGATGCAAGGGCCTTGGACGCCCAGTTCGAAGCTTTTCGAGCGGGGCGCGGCCAGCGAACGTGGCCAAGGATGGACCGAGGAGGCAAGGATAGAAGGGCACCCCTGGGAAGGTTGCCCATCCTTACTATGCGGATCGACTGTGCCACTCTCCCCATTTTCCGACCCCCCCGCAAGGCCCGCGCAAGATTGAGTGGGGCACCCGCAAAGGTTGCCCAGCAACCCGGGCATGAATGATTAAGAGCACACTGTGTAGGGACACGGGTTCCACGCTGGCTACCCAATATGCCCAACTTCGTGGGATTTGGGATGGGCCGAATCTGTAGTGCCTCACTCGGGGATCTACGACGGGGGGCCTCCATCCCCGACATGGGTGTGTTCCAATAGCCCCCTGGTTGTGTGTCCCCGAATTCCCCTCCTTCTGAGCGGCATGTGGTGCGAGGCGGGGATCTGCCCATCTCCACCGCCTGGGGGACCGATGACCCGGGACCCGAGGGGGGGGGGGGCGAGACATCGACTGCAGCGTGTCGCGACAGCCCCGAGCGGAAGGCTGGGGGGGTCGGGCTTTGGACGGCAGGGTCGGGGGCTGTGGCTTCCAAGCGCGGGGGTCAGCGAGTCAGTTGCCGCCGCCGTCGGGTAGCTACTGACCCGGGTCAATCCAGGCCCGGGTCAGTCAGGCGCTGCGGGATCCTGCAGGGTCCTGCAGGATCCTGCGGGATCCTGCACCCAAGCCCGGGCCAGTGCAACCGTGGCTTTCCAGGATCCTGCAAGGTCCCGCGCTCTGACTGACCCCCGCCCGCACTGACCCCCGTCTCCTCAGCCTGGACGCCGAGTCCTAGGCCATGCATGTCCCCCTGCAGGCGGATTCCGGAGCAAGAATTAAGAAGAGTGAACCAAATGCCCCAACATAGTCCAAGAATAATGAACGAATCGTCCCCAGACTGTTTTTTGAACATCCTTCCCGAAGGAGAGACACGCCCGACCCCTGGCGCCTCCCGGCGCCGGAGGCGCCAGTGTGTCGAGGAGCCCGGCGGCGGAGCCGAACGCGGCTGCACGCGGCAAGCTCCGTCGACCCCGTCCCTCTCGGTCCGACCCGACGGGGAGGCGAGACAGTGGAGGCCAGGCCACGAGAGACCTTCCACAAGAAACCCAGGCCTGAGACCCCGGGACGTCCATCGATCTTTGGGCGTGGGAACGTCGCGCTCCCCACCGCAGAACCGTCGAAACCCAGGAAGCCCAGCGCGCCCTGGAGGCAGGCAGGGCGGTTCTTGGCATGGGCCCCCACTGCACCGCGAGACCCGTCGCTGCAGCGCAAAGCTTGCAGCACCGCGGCAAGCGCCACGGGCGCCCCAGAACACAGCCGCCCGGTGGCAGCCTCCGAGAGAGCCGCGAGGTGGAAGCTCTGGGAGGGCCTCCGGGGCCCGGGGCAGGAGGCGCCCAGGCTGAGGTCGGGCATGTCCTCCTGCAGGCGGATCTTGGGCGAAGCATGAATTCGGTCGGAGCACGTTGGAAGATAGTCACGCGCACGCGCACACACACACACACACACGCACACGCACACGCACACGCTCTCTCACACACACACACACACACACACACACACACACACACACACACACACACACACACACACACACACACACGCACGCACACGCACGCACGCACGCACGCACGCACGCACGCACGCACGCACGCACGCACGCACGCACGCACGCACGCACGCACGCACGCACGCGCACGCGCGCACACACGCGCACACACACACACACACACACACGCACACACACGCACACACACACTCACACACACAAAAAATAAAAACGAAACATCGTCCCTGCAGACCGCTTTCTGGCTTTTCTTGAAGATCCCCCCCCCCCTGTGGAGGGACGTGCCCGACCTCAGCCCGGGCCCCCCGAGGCCATGATGTGCTCTAGCCGCAGCCGTGGACCCCCGAAGGTCTCGAGCCGGTCCCCCCAAGGGGGCGTCCCGAGTCGTCCTGCCGACGGGCCCCGCGGCCCGGCGGGAGCCCTCGGAGGCCGCAGCTGGCTGCAAAGCCGCCCCCCCGTCGCGAGCTGGCCACGACGCGAGGGCGCCGAGGGAGGGGCGCGGAGGGGGGGGGGTAGCAATCGGGCGAGGATGCTGCCACGATCAGCTGCTGGCTCAGGATGCGCTGCGCGGGGCTTCCAGGGAGTGCCTGGCAGCCCTCGCCTCTGGAGCCCCTGCGGGGGATACATGTGTGGGGGTCTCGGAGGCCCTGGAAACCTTGGGAATCCCCTCCTCCTCCGCCTCCTCCTCCTCCTCATCCTCCTCCTCCTCGAGCACTGGCGGCCACGCGGCAGTCTCTCCCGCCGAAGCCGCAGTCCTCCCTCCTCCTCCTCCTCCTCCTCCTCCTCCTCCTCCACCTCCTCCTCCTCCTCCTCTTCCTCCTCCTCCCCCCCTCCTCCTCCTCCCTCCTCCTCCTCCTCCTCCTCCTCCTCCTCCTCCTCCTCCCTCCTCCTCCTCCTCCTCCTCCTCCTCCCGAGGGAAGCCCCCCGGGCCGCGCAGGCTCCCCGGGCCCCCCCCCGCGGGGCCTGCTCGAGGAGCTGCCTCTGCTCCTGGGCCGCCTGGGCCACCGCAGCCTCGAAGCGGGCCCGCTCGGCCTCGGCGTGCTGCTGGGCCCAGCTCTCGAACTCCCGCCACCGCTCCTCCTCGGCGGGCCGAGAGGAGGGCTGATGGGCCTGTTTTCCACCACCACCCCCAGAAGTTGAAGGGGAAAAGGGGTGGAGGATGCGGAGGAGAAAGAGGAGGGGGAGGACCCCCTCCCTCGCCCCTCCAACTTGTGGTGGTGGTGATGGAAAACGGGCCCATCAAGGGCAGGATCGGCCAGCATCGCCTCGGCAGCTCGTATCGCCGCATCGGCACGGAACATCGCGCAATCGAATCCGCTCGGCTGCGCCAGGGTGCACAGCAACGCCCCTGCAGACATCGGGCCGCATCGGATCGCCGGAACACCGAAAAATCGAACCGGATCGGGCCAGCCAGAATCGGCATCGCGGCAGGCTTCAGCCTGGACGGTGCGTGCTCTGGGTTCTGCCACCGCGAAAAGATGTTCGGGCTCGAATGGGAAAAGAACTGCTCTCGACTCTTTCCAAGAACGGTCATTACCTGGGGGGCAGGGGTTTGGGCCCTGGGTCACGGTAACGCTTGGGGTGGGGCTCGTCGGGGCGGGGGTGCGCTGCGATCTCCAGAGCCTGCGCGCGAGAACCAGCATGTGGGGGCGGTTCGGGCCCCCCCTTCGGTGGCAACTCATGGGAGCCTCCCATGCCATCTCGTCGGCTCTTGCGAGTCGACGCTGATCGACGCTACATCGACGCTAATCGACGCTAAGTCGACGATACATCGACGCTAAACCGGCGCTATCTCATCCTGTCCCAGACGCTGATCGACGCTAGCCGACGCTAAAGACGGAATTGAGAGGGTATACCAGGCTTCCAACACGGGCTACCGAAACGTACGATCGCAATCCTTCCCGGGGGGTTGGGGCGGGGGGTGGGGGGCAACGGCCGTTGCGCGACAGAGGACAAAGAACCACCGCCGCCGGGGTCCCGGTGAAAGTGGGCCCCTGGCGCCCGCCCACGAGATCGATAACAACGACACCAACGATCACAAGGACAACGACAACAACGACGACGATCACAACGACAACAACGATCACCACGATATCAACGATAACACCGATCGTTGCATCATGATCGTTGTGGTGATCAGTGTTACCGTTGTTGCCGTTGTGAGCGCTGGGATCGCTCTGATCACGGTGATCGTCATCGCTGTTGCCGCTGTCACGAGCGCCCGCTCCTCCTCCGGAGCCGCCTCTTGACAGCCCCGGGGCGGGCGGGGGAGGGCCCCGCGGGAGGGCCGGCGACGGCCGACAACCTCCAGCGGGCCCCTCGTCTTAAGTCGGGCCTGTCCCCCCACAGGGGGATCTTGGACGAAAAATACTCGATAGTCAAAAGATACCCCAAAATAATTACTCAAAAGTGGTCAAAAAATAGTCCCCAGACTATCTTACTATTGGGCTGGCCTCCAGCCAGTGCCGCCGATCCGGGGGGGGGTGAGAGCGAGATGATGATGATGATGATGATGATGATGATGATGATGATGATGATGATGATGATGATGATGATGAAGATGATGATGATGAGGAAAATGAGGATGATGAGGATGATGAGGATGATGTTTCCGCGATTCGGGGCCCTTTTGCATTGTCAAGGGGGCCTCTGGGGCCTCTCTTGGCTTCCACTTGGGCTGTCTTGGGCGGTCGGGGCTCCGGAAGTGAAGTTTTCTATACCCCCCTGTCCCCGGGTACCGACAAACGTCGGGAAATGACGTCGGAAATATCCCCGTGTACCGAAAAACGTCGGAAATGGCATCGGAAATAACGTACGCCCCCCCTCCACCCCCTGCAGAGCGAAGCTTGAGCGAGCTCAAGTCCACGCTCTCAGAAACTCACACGCCGGATCGGCGGATTCTTGAATCTTCCTCCTGTGGAGGGACAGGCCCGACTCAACCATTGCCCTCCCGGGGCCCCGTGGCGCGCGCCTCCCCCCCGCGCAGAAAAAAGGGGGGCGGGCGCCGCCGCCCCCGGCGGCGGGTGATGGGCGCGTTTTCCACCACCACCACCATAAGTTGGAGGGGGAGGAGGAGGAGGAGGAGGAGGAGGAGGAGGAGGAGGAGGAGGAGGAGGAGGAGGAGGAGGAGGAGGAGGAGGACCTCTCCCCCTCCAACGTATGGTGGTGCTGGTGGAAAACAAGCCAATCAGCGGGGGCGGGGCGGGCACGGCGAGCCGGCGCCCCCGACCGCGAGGTGGCCTCCCGCCCGGGAGGCCCGGCCCGGCCCCCGAGACCACCGGGGCGCCCGCAGAGCCTCGGCGCGGGGGGCGCGCCGCCCCGCGGGCGCAGAGCTATAGCCCTTGAGCCCGAGGCACCCAGGGCACCCCCGGAGGCAGGCAGGGTGCTCGCGGGCCTCCGCTAGTCAGGAGGGAAAGAAACACACAGACACACAATTAATCGTTGAGTCCCAGGAAAATATGGGAAAATATGGGAATTGGGCGGGAAGACAAAAACCCAGAAAATATTGGAAAATATGGGGAAACATTTTGTTTGTGTGCATTTTTTTGTGTCCCAGGGCCTCCGCTGGACTCGCCATCGCTCGGACGTCCATCCCCTGTGTTTTTTTTTGTCGGTTGCGTGCGTAGCTTTGTCGCCAAAGGATCAAGGATGCTCCTCGATCGTCCTCGCCGGAGGACAAATGCACACGTCCGAGCGATGCCAAGGGCAAGGTGTCCACGGCCCTCCACTATAAAGGGGGGGGGGCCGGGAGGCGGGGAGGGCGGGGAAGGGGGCTCCCGGAGGGCCGGGAGGGGCAGGAGGGCCACACGCACCCGCACGGGGGCACAGCGGCCTCGCACGGTGGCGGCGCCTGCGCGCGTGCCCGCGCAGGCGGACCACGGGCGCGCGGGGAGAGATCCTCGTCGTCCTCCGCCCCCCGCCCCCGGCACTGGCTGCCACTCCTCATCCACCTCTGCACTCGGACCCCCGTTCTTGCTCGCTCTCCTGGGCAGCCACGAACGCGCCGTGCTGCTCATTGACCGCGGCAGCCACCTTCTGCGAGATGTTCTCCTCGAACTGCTTGAAGGCGTCTGCAAACATCGCCGCTGAGAGGCCGCCTGCCTGGCGTCAATAGCATAGCCAGCCTCCGCCCCTTCCCTCGCCCCACCCCCTTCAGCAGTTTCTCCCCCTCCTCCTCCTCCTCCTCCTCCTCCTCCTCCTCCTCCTCCTCCTCCTCCTCCTCCTCCTCTCCTGATTTTCACTGCTCCTCCTTCACTCCCCCCGCCTTCCTGCTACCTCAAGCCCTCCAATCCCTCGCTGCCCTTGTTGCCCGGATCTCGTCCGCCGCCATTCCTCCTCAACCTTCGTCCCCTCCTCCTCCTCCTCCTCCTCCTCCTCCTCCTCATATTCCATTACCCCACCCCTCGTCCACATCATGTTTTCTCCCCCCTCTCATACGTCACCTCTTCCGCCACTGCTACTGCAACGCAGCTTCCTCTGCTGTTTCCTCCCCCTCCTCCTGCCTGTGTTCCTTCCACACTGCCCTGTTTGGCGATCCCCCCCTGCACCCCCACAATCCACCCTCCGTTGTCTTCCTGGTCATGCTGCTGCTCCCTTTCCAGCCCTGCCGAATCCCCGTTCCTCTCCCCAATCCCCCGCCACCATCCACTCCCCTTCATCCTCATTTCCCTCCTCGACCGCACCCTGTTCTGCATCTTGTTGCTGATGTTTTTCCTCTTCCTCCTCCTCCTCCTCCTCCTCCTCCTCCTCCTCCTCCTCCTCCTCCTCTTTTCTCATCCTCCTCCTCCAACTCCTACTCGTCCTCCTCTACATCTACTAGTACGACGAATGCTGCTACTACATCGACTACGACTACAGTGCCGGGATGACAATTCGCTCAACTTTGTCAGGCTGGCGCAACGTGGATCGGAGATGCGGGCGCGAGTAGAACGACACCGTGTCGCTCCGTCAGGGGCGTGGATCCTGGTACAATGCGAGGGGGGAGAACCTGTGCCATCTGGGGGGACGGGCAACCTCGGAGAACTCCTTCAAACAAAATGCTTGATTCGGCTGAACATAATGGCGTTTCGAAAACGGCAAACCACTTGGAGCTTGAAGCAAATTCGAAACCAGGTTCGAAACCATAGAAACTGGTTCGATAAAAGAAGAATGTGAGCGTTTCGCGCAGGACTTTCTCGAAAAGGATGCTTGGAACCCGGTTCGCAACAATGTTGAAACAAACGGAGTGCGTGGGACGTCTGCTCAACATTGGTGCGTCCCTGGTTCGAAACATGAAGAGAACTGGCGTTCCGCGCGGGACCTCACAACACGCAGGTCAAAGTCGAGAGTTGTGGTAGAGGTTGGCTGCCGTAAGCAGCAGCGCGAACTCGACCGCAGCGGGACATCGAAACTTGTGCGGGCGACTGGGAGGGGTGCAACTCATGACGAAGTCCCGCACCCAACCAACTTCCAGCCGACCCGCACGCCGAGGATGCGAGGGCCTTGGAGCGCCGTGCCGAAGCTCCTCGAGCGGGGCGCGGCCAACGAAAGTGGCCAAGGAAGGGCCGAGGAGACAAGGACGCAAGGGTAGCCTCGGGAGCATTGCCCATCCTTACTGTGCGGATTGGCTGCAGGGGGGCCTCGTTCAGAACACGGCGCGCGCCTGGTGCGTCCACCGGCAAGGATCGGAGTTGCTCGGGCTGCCCGGCAAACCCGCTCGACGAGTAAGGCTGCGCGGTAAGGATGCAAGGGCCTTGGACGACTATGCCGAGGCCCTTCGAGCGGGGCTGGCCTTCGAAAGTGTTATGTCGGGCGTGTCCCCCTACAGGGGGATTTTCGACGAAAAATAAGAAATACCCAAAAAATAATCCAAAAAGGTCAGAAAATACTGAAAAAAATAGTCCCCAGACTATTTTCGGACTATTTTTGGATTATGTTTGGGGTATTTTTTATTTTTCGTCGACAAATCCCCCTGTAGGGGGACAGGCCCGACTTAACAAGAGTGGTCGAGGATTGGCCGAAGATGACCGACGCGGCAAGGATGCAAGGGGCACCCTTGGGAAGTCGCCCATCCCTTGCTGCGCGGGCTGACCGGAGTCCCACCGGGGGGACGAGAGGCCTCCCAGAGGCCAAGAGGGGAGGCACTCTCGTAGAAACCTTGAGCCTGGAACCTCGAACGGACGACGACGACGACGACGACGACGACGACGACGACGACGACGACGACGACGACGACGACGACGACGACGACGACGGTGCTGTGTGCCAGGGCACCCTCGGGAAACCTGCCCCTCCTTCCTGTGCGGGTGGGGCTGTGCAGGTTCTCGGGGCACCCAGGGCGCGCGCAACTCCCAGTCCTCACCCTCCTCCTGCTCGTCCGCCTCCTCCTCCCCGGAAGCCCGAGGATGGGGGCAGCACGGGGAAGGACACGACATCTCCGAGAAGCGGGAACGGGGAGCAAGGAAACGCATCGAAGGATTCTGCGGGGGGGCGGGCGGGGGATGCACCGCACGTCGTTCTCACTTGCGACCGGAAACAGATGCACGTGCAAGGATGTGTGGAATGCTGAGCGGGAACCGTGTGACTATTGAACAAGAGTGGCCTCCATTCCCCTCGAACTCCATTCGAAAACCAATAAAGGATCCAAAAGAGGCCTAAGAATTCCTAGGTGGAGCCCATGACAGGACACTCGGCCCGTGTTACGGGGGAGCTGCGTGCACCTTGTAAGTTGGAGTGGGGTCGCGCTCCGAAGGCCGAGATGCCTTTCTAAAATTACAATGGATCGGCCTTCCAGTGGCCATGGTCCCTATGAACTTCGATAGGAAACAATTCGTGGACGCCCCCCCCCACATCCCCTCAAACTCAAAGTTGGCGCGCGGGGAAGACTGCGGTCGAAGAGCAGCTCGTTGATCATTGGGGGGGCATTGACAGAGAAATGCGGCATGAGTGTTCGCCAATCTTCCGAGGCCTGTGGAATGGGCCCGCGCGCACCCAGAGCTGAGACAACTGGCGAAAAACAGCGGATCCGCGCGCCCGACAAACACGCTGCACCTCAGACGAAAACGGGTGTCACCGGGGTGCCGACTGACCGGTGTCCTGCGCACTGCCTGGGGAGCTGGGACGGTGACCGACTGAACTCCTGGAAATCCAAATGCACTCCTGGCCACACGACAAGACCACGCGAAAATGGCAGTGAACCCCCCCCTTCCCGTTTCTGTGACTCGTGTTCGGCTACATGGCCGTTATATCCTGATTGGCGGCACGCAGATGACTGGCTGGCCAGCGTGACGACGCTGTGCACACCTACGACAAGCACTACGAATACGGCTGCTTCGACGGCTACTACGACTCCAACTACTCACGCAGCTCCAGCGAGCACGGCTACTACGACTACTAATACTACAACTGCTACGGTTACGGTTGCGACTATAACCACTCCGACGACTAGTACTACTACCCCTACTGCTACTACACATCGGGTTAATCATCATCTGATCACTGGGTGAGAAGTAAGGGGTAACAGATCGGGGTAGGGGTTCGGGTTCGAAACCTTCTATTGACCTCCAACAGAAACCCAGATCATAATTGATTTTCTATGGGAAGAACACACTGTTATGTCAACCGCGCGCCTGTTTAACATATGTTTTCAAACATCGAATTCTTACTACAAACGTGCATCTTGCTCGAATCCCCACTCGCAGGTTCAAGATTCATAAACCTTACGGAACCAACTAGAAACTTATCCCTCTATTGGATGCCTATCGGGTACGGAGACTTTAACTGGAATCACAATGAAACACATATTGGGAACTGAGTCCAATTGAACCATAGATGATGGTCCACGTTATCACACACTTGGAAAAAACAACGATTTACATATGTGCATACAAAACGCGTGCAACATGCAGATGGTAATTGAGAATCCGTCGGGAAACACATTTGTTATATAGATTCAAACCTATATTGGCATTGAGCTCCTCGAGAAGCCACTGGTATTGAATTCAGGTGTGGGGCAAATGGGTGCCGCCAAGTTCCATGGGGAAACCAGGCTCCTTTTGAATGCCGGTAGACAAGCCAAAATCAACATTAAGCTCCGACGAGGAACGAATCAGTGTGCCGAATTCTTGCGGAAATAGAATACGCATATAGTTCCGACTGCAACTCACAAGGCATTATATTGAATTCCAAAAGAAGGAAATCCTCACATTGAGCTCCACTGGGAAACCTAGATCTAATTTGAGTTCCGATGAAGGGCGAACACGCGCTGACTTCCACATGACACACGCACGTACATTGAAGTCAGAGTAATCCAAATAGGTATGGTGAATTCATACACAACACATGTTCACGTAGCAGTCCGATGGAAAACAACTAGCCAAACAAATATTGAACACCTTGTACAGATGACAGCAAATTCTTCGAACGTGCATGGAATAGCGTACTGTGGAAACGACCCCACCGTGGCCCTCGCCCACTCCGCATTGATGAAATGATGGCCCACACATTCCCGTGTCTTGTCGCCCCAATGAACTGCCCATCCATGTGGTGACCAGCTGTGCCAGTCTGGCCTAGTGACCAGGAGATTATCATGTCATGTTCAGGACGAAGTGAGCAGGTGATTGTTACCCTGCTACGCATTCTACTTCTACCACTACTACTACTACTACTACTACTACTACTACTACTACGACTACGACTACGACTACGACTACGACTACGACTACGACTACGAATACGACGACAACAACAACAACTACTACTACTACTACTACTACGACTACTACTACTACTACTACTACTACTACTACTACTACTACTACTACTACTACTACTACTACTACGAATACTACGAATACTACGGATACTACTACTACGAATGCTACGGATACTACGACTTCCACTACTACTACTACTGCTACTTCTACTACCACTACTACCACTACCACCACGACTACGAGTACACTACGACTACGACTACTACTACTACTACTACTACGACTACTACTACTACTGCTACTACTACGACTTCTACTACTAC